TATATATAGCCGGGATGCATACACTAAGCAACTGTAGTAATGATGTCAATTTCATATAAGGAAACCCCTAGGCTATTAGGCATCATATAGCCAGGCAATTCTATCATGCAATTCCTGAAGATCCCTAGCCTATCACTAGCATACTGTTCTAACATATCACAATATCAAATAACAGTACGATATTTTGGTGTCTACTTACTGGCTCCGACTGATCGTACACATCGCATCCTCCTTTAGTATTTTGGAAACCATTTGAAAATCATTTTGAATATCTTTTCCTTGGTTTGAGACTGGATTCACACGAGTGTTCCTCCAATTCACTCAAACCAAGGCTTTGATACCAACTTGTAACAACCACAAAATTCAAGCCAATTTAAAACTTTTTAAATCATTCAAAACCAATAATTATTACAAATTGTTTTCATAATAGTTTCATGTCAGAGTATCCCAGAAATCAAATCATAAAAGCATGAGGAGGTGCATGATCACGCCTTCGCCCTCACGTGATCATCTAAAGTACCTGAAACAAAATCAACAACTGTAAGCCCGAAGCTTAGTGAGTTTCCACAAAATACCCGCACAGCATATAACACATATACAATAACAACATACTATGGGCCCAATCAACCATCGGGTTGGAATGCCCCAGGCCCTCAACCATCGGGTTGGAATGCCCCAGGCCCTCAACCATCGGGTTGGAATGTCAACATACTATGGATCCAATCATCCTCGGGATGGTATACCCTCGGCCCAGAACCATCGGGTTGGAATGCCCTCATACTAAGAGTCCAATCATCCTCGAGATGGAATACTCTCGGCCCAGAACCATTGGGTTGGAATGCCCAGGTCTGTTGGCTCATGCTCAAGTAGATACCTCAACCACCAATCAAACATGTGCACACATATCAAATAAACACATAACAGTCTACAGACAGTCAAGCTGATCTACAGATCACTAAGCATAGCAACATCCTATCTACCAGGATATCGATCTAACAGATCATAATCACATAGAAACATCCTATCTATTAGGATACCAATCTAACAAATCATAACAGTAACAAAACAAGATAACAATCCAAACGGTCGGCCTTGGTGCCTTAGACCCATGAGTATAGTGAGGAAAACTCACCTCACAAGAGTGCAGAACTGGACTGACAGTCTCCGACCGTTGTCTCACCGAAAATCCCAGGCTATCCAAAATAACGAATACTAAGTCAACAATTGGTATATCAATCTTGACCAAGGGTCCCACATAGGGTAATTGTCCATTATTTCCTTTTCTCCAATTTGGGCCAAGGCCCAATACCAAATCCATGATCTATAATTCCATATATCCAAAGCACATTAATGGCCCAATTTTCCCAATTGGGCCTTATTCTAAGATCCATTACCAAAACTGGCCCAAAACATAATTATTCGGAAAGTCCAGCAAGGCCCAAGCCCAACTGGTCCAAAGGCGGTCCAATCCTGAAGCCCAATTCGTCGAAAGCCCAACAGAGGGCGTACGCGGGGCGTACTCCGCCTTGCGTTGACCACCATCAAGGTGGTTGACCCAGTACGCTGGGCGTATAGAACTTACGCAGGGCGTACGCAAGTTTTACCAAAACTCTAATAAGTGCTTAATGGCCTAAGCACTTAAGCCTAAATTCCAGATCCATCAACCAAATGTGTCTTAGAACCATAAAGTCTCGAACTTTAAGACTTTGGACGTCCAGAAAGCTCTTAATACATGGTCTTAACCCATTAAGACCTTTCTACTACATGCATGGGACACTTTAAGCCATTGGGACATCATTTTTATCACTTAGGACCCTTTCTAGGGTCTAAAAGGACAGCTTATCTCGTTCAAATCATAACATGCACCAACTTGGGCCTTTTTGGAAAAGTAATGGTTTCATAAAGCTAATATGGCAAGATCTACATCATACAAGCATAAAGGTTGGAGCTTTTTACCTCCTGGAGCTTCTAGAGCACAAAAAAACCTCAAATCTACAAGCTTGTCTTCCTTCTCCAACTTCTTGATGCAACACCTTCTTCTTTAACTACTCAAAACACAAACTTTTAGCTCACACACTCAAGAAAGGGGTTAGGGTTTGGAGGAAACGGCTCAAGTTATGGAGGCTGAGATGATGGAGGGTTTTGAGCTCATAAGGACGTTTATATAACACCCAAACCCTAAATATTATGGTTTCCATCTGTCGTGAGTACGCCCAGCATACTAGCGCGCGCCTAGTACGCTCAGCGTACGTTATGTACGCTTAGCGTACTCTCTTGGTCCCAAAGTTGCAACTTTAGCCTTAGGCTTCTAATGGCTTCACTCTTCCAACCCCAGGGATTACAATTGGCAAAATAATAATAAAAGAGAGGATTCGGAAATACCTGCAAATCTCGGGATGTTACAAAAGTATTTATTTTAGATTAGCCACTATCCATTTTCCATGTAATAAATAAGTATTGTATTATTTTATGATATAATGTTATTTGATTTTTTCGCTATTTTTGTTTTTCAAATATTACTACAAAATAATATAGATTTAATTTATAAATCAATTATCCATCCATCCATATGAAATCTTTGATATGGAATCTGATATATAATATACACCACGAAAATTGCTAGGGATTCACCACCACAGAATTTGCTAGGAAGTCATCAAACGGAAGTTGCTAGGGATTCATCACCACCAAATTTGCTAGGGATCAACAACCATGGAATTTTCTAGAGATTCAGTACAACGGAATTTGCTAGGGAATCACCACCACAATATTTGCTTGGATTCATCACCCCGGAATTTGCTAGGGAAGAACTACCACAAAATTTGTGATGGAAACCTACTACGGAATACATGACGGAATACCATCTACAACATATTTCATTCCGTTGTCACAATTGCGACGGAATTTTCGTTTCTCTAGCAAACCCTCGCTACGGGTTTTTTTTGGGCTGGAAATCGCTCGTCGCAAATTCTGTCGTTATTCGTCTTTTGCAACGGAATTTCAGTTTTTCGCAACAGATTCCTTCCGTAGTAAAATCGCGTTTTTCTTGTAGTGTATACATCACCTCGCTCATTTTCTTCTCCTCCATATACGGCACGGGATATTTAAGAATATACCAACGTTTCTTCAAAGCTCCAAATGCTCGTTCAATATCCTTTCTCGCCCGTTCTTGAGCTCTCTTAAACTTCAACCTTTTGCTATCATTTGGACAAGACAATGACTTCACAAAACAAGCACGATCTGAATAGATCCCATCCATAAGATAATACCCGTTCCTATACGATGTTCCAGCTACTTGAAAATAGGAGTCGGGTGCAGTCATGTTGTACATGTCATCGAGTAATTGAGACATGTTAAGAACATTGATGTCATTAAGGGAACCAACTGAGCCAAAGAATGCATGTCATGTCCATATATCTTGTGAGGCCACCGCTTTAAGTATAACGGTTAGATAATAATGATCGCCTCGGGTGTATTGCCCTTTATGGACATTCAGACAACAACCCCATGCCCAGTGGAGGCAATCTAGGCTTGCTAACATTCCAGGAAAGTCGTGCACGTTTGATTGATGAGCATACAATTGTTGGATGTCACTACAAGTAGGTTTGCGCAGATATCGTGGACCATATAATCTCATGACATACTTGCAAAATTTGTGAAGGCCAGTTCATGCAGTACGCCCGGACATCCTAAGGTTCTCTTCTAGTGGATCGGGGCAAGTGGCATACGCTAATTGACGAAGTGCAGCGGTGCATTTTTGTATAGGAGTAAAACCAATTATACCTTTAGCATCTCGACGTTGTTGAAAAAAATGTTCACGCTGCCGTGACGTCGTTGACTATACGCAAAAACAGAGATTTATGCGTACGGAACCAACGACAAAAATAATATCTTATAAAGTTGGCGTCATCCACAAAGTAATCTTGCATGAGTCGTTCATTAGCCGTCTCACGAAATCTTTGTATGTATCTTCTCTTCCTCCTGCGTGCATTCTCCGCATTTTCTTGTTGTAGTTGCTCGATCATCTACTCCGCCTCCTGAATAACATGTCCGATGAAGATGATAAAGACGACATTTTGAGAGAGTGTATATGAGTTGTAAATTGATGTTGATGAGTTAAAATTGTTTAAGGTTGTAGTATTTATAGGAGTTTTTTTTTCTTCTTATTTTAGAAAAAGGAAAATTAAATGGAAATAGCCGTTGCCAGCAACCCCCTCTTTCCCATTGGTCAATTACACTTGGCAGATATTAACTGAGAAACCGGACCGACCTCGGCAAGCCGAGGGGTCGCCCGATGCGCGCCGAGCTTGTCGAGCCCACACCCACCAACCTAAAAAAGAAATCCATACAACAAAACATCAAGGAAAAAGTTATACCGTTATGAATTGTCATTTTGACCGAGTCTTAGACATTAGTGTTAATGGCTTTTTAGAAAAATATTCTCAAAATAATCAGCTTCCATCAAGACAATGATTCTATTAGGTCATAATGCATTAAATAATAATTAAGTTTTCAAAATACTTTACCATATATAGTCGTTTGTTTCCATTTGTTACGAGACAGAATTGTTAAATCAACCACTTGACTAGGACAAATGATTATCGGGTTAATACCTACAAAAATGAAATGTAATTTTCCAAATATTCACAACTTATAGAACACATTTGAAATAAGATGTGATTATTTCTAAATTAATTTATCTAGACTACATATGTTATTTACTGATTTTCTTAAACCCAAACCAGTTCCACTTCTAACCGTGAACAGAATAAAGAAGTCGACAGAAAGCAATTGTTTCCTGTCCCACTTTCTTCCCAACTCAAATCTCATCCAAACAGAATCCATCGTGTTCACATTTCTATCATCAATTCATCATAGTCCACTTTGATTAACAATATAATTATTCAATTCAGAATCCAATTTGGATTTTCCCCATAATTGATCATAAAAAAAAAATAATAACCAACAAATCCTCTACATCTCCATCATATGCAACAGCCATGGGGAACAGTTTACCAGGTGTCGGAGGAGGGAAGAAGAAGGCCAAAGTGATGAAGATCGACGGCGAAATCTTCAAATTACAAACACCCATTAAAGTTTTTGAAGTGATTAAGGATTACTCCGGTCATGTTCTATTGGAATCGAAGGCTGTTAAGAGATATGGGATCAGAGCTACTCCTCTTGATCTAGAGGAAAATCTTGAACCTGGGAAGATTTATTTCCTGGTTGAGTTACCTAAACTGCCGGAGACGGCGGAGAAGACGGTGGCGATTAGAAGGGTGCGGTCTGGGTTAAACGTGACGGCGAAGGAGAGGTTGGAGCTTATGAGGGTGTCACGGAGGTCTGTGTCGGAGGTTTCGATGGTTAGGGCGGAAAGTGGTGGTGGGTTGGAAGCGTGTGGTTCTGTGCGGGTGAAGGTGAGGTTGCCGAAGGCGGAGGTGGATAGGTTGATCGGAGAAAGTAGAGATGAAGTGGAGGTGGCGGAGAGGATTGTTGATCTTTATGTGCAGAAGAAGAGCGGTGATGATGGCCGGCGGTTGATTAGGGAGAAGATGACGGTTGGATAGGGGGTGTGTTTGGGGGGTGAATTACGTTCCAATTTCTGAAATGTAAATAAAAATTTAGAAATACTATGTGATTTTGTTGGTATGATTTAAATATAATTTACTAGATGTGAAACCGTTTATTATAGGTGTTGATTTAAAAAAAGATTAAATATTAAAGTGTAAATAGAAAATATTTTTAATGTACAACTTTAAAATAAGAAAGATGCATATTTATTGCAATTTAATATCATATATATCATATTTAATAGTTTACATAAATAAGTATATGATTTTAATTTTAAAAATTGAAACAAACCAAAAATTGACAAGTGGATAATATTTATTTCAAAAATACCACAAAATGACAAGCATCAAAATTTATGAGAGATATACATGTGGCAAAAAAAAAAATTCATTTATTAAGGAAGATTTACTTTGGTTTGTATTTAGTTAGAATTAAACAATAACATTTTAGGTTTAAGGGTTTAATTTCCTCTATTTTATCTCAAAGGAGAAAGTTTAGATAAATTGAATCTTTGACATACATATTTACATGAAAATTTTAAATTATGAGAATTTTAGGACAGAATATTGTTTTATTTTTAAATTGGTTTGGAATTTTTTTCTTTTTTCTTTTTGTTAAGAGTAGAGGTGCATATATACTAATATATATCGGTTTAAAACCGGGTTTGGTTTTTCATGAACCAGTTTTCTTTTGAATGGTTTCGGTTACAGTGGTTTTGATCTTTTTGGTTTTTTTGGTAGTGAAATGACATTAAAAAGCAGTTTTTTGGTTAAAAACCGAATTAGTTCGGTTGTTGTTGAAAACCGGGGAAAATACTGTTTTCAGTTATATATCAAAACATATTTTTAGCCGATGGTTTGATTCTATTCCACTGATTCTAAAAAACAATTTGAAATTTTAACCTCTAAATAAGAGTAGGCCTCTAGATAGATGTGAACGATGGAGTGGTTCAAACGCGGATTTGAACTTAAAAAAATAAACAAATCTTCAGAAAAGTATAAATATTTTGATCGAAGTTTAGACAAAAGTTCTAAATTTTATTTTATTAACAAAAAAAGTCTCAATTACCGGATAAAAAATCAAATCATCCATTTTTTACATGCAAACTATTTTTACTCGGTTGTCTTCGAAAAAGTCTCATTATTTGGCCTAGTTGTGAAAAAGTCCTACTTTTTTTTATTTCAACTCTTTTACACTTTCATTAAAAATCTGAATTTTTTTGTTTTAAATTATAAATATGAATAAACGTCATTATGATCGATAAAACCAATGATTAAAATCCTCCATAACCAATTATTTGCCACAAAACAATTACGGTTAGCGTCATTTTGAACTCATCATTGTCTATATAATCCATTTCTAATACAAATTTTGGTTACAAGTATTATAAGATATTCAAATTATGTGTTGAACACCTTAGTACAATCAACCTAAAAGTATGTTAAAGAAAAACCAACTGATATGTTCATATAAGTAAAGAAACCATTAACTACTTATAGTCCCATTATCTTTTTTGAAGAAAGTGGTCGATTGTAGAAACACTTTGTTTTGGAAGGATATTTGGTTGGGGGATGATGCTTTGTAGAATTTGTTTCATAGTTTGGCTCCTTTAGAAACCAATCTTGGAGTTGGAGTTGGAGAAGGGAACCTAGAGGGGGTGGTGAGTACACCAAATTCACGGTTTTGATGATGTTGTTAGATAATGTTGAGTTGTTTAATATCCCGAATATTTGGACATGGGATTTGGTTAATGGAGTTGATTTTTGAAGGGTTTTAGGTACAATAAATAAACTAGAAAACAATTCCTAAGTTCACATACAACCTACTTTGGATCTATGTTTTAACTATTGAACATACAACTTTGAATTGCAATACAAGAACCCTAGAGGAGAGAGGCTATTATCGAAAATAGTAAACTAGGGTTTAGGGTTTACATACCTTTTAATTGTTATAGCAAACAATTGATATTCCCTTGATATTGATCTTGATCTTCTTGGAAGCTTTAGCACCACAAGTGTAATGCCTCTAATGGAATCACACCCAATGA